GAAGACAAAAGACGTAATTCATAAAGTGTCTAGCAATAAAATCTATTCTGACATACCATGACTTTCACCGTAATCATAGTAAATACTTTTTAGCAAACAGAACCGGTGGCGAACAGACCACCGCTTTGATGACGGGAGAAGAAGCGCCTGGAAAAACGCCCATAATTGCGGGATTTCGTTATGTTGTAAGTGTTGTATAAACTCAGATTAAGTGTGATTCTAACAAGGGAAGAATACTTAGCGTGACCTTTTAAAATGCAAGGCATATCGCTAAATGTGGCTTAGAAGTTCCTTTCTGTTCTTCACATCTGCTAAACGATTTGTTTAAGAAAGTTTTGATTATTTCTTTTCGTGAAAATTGCGTGCACAATCTGCTGTTGATCGCTCTAAATTCCAAAAAAATCATTCAGGGGACGAAGCAAAAGCTCCTTTCAGAATTTAATTGACTGAGCTTAAAATCGGCTGTTTAGAGTGAATTCGAAGTATTCAAGCAGTAGGCACATAGTGCAAGCTATGTTTCACGGAAAGAAACTTTTCATAACTATGTTTAGAGAATCGTTTAACAATTATGGAAGACAGATATGAAATCAGTTTTTTAAGGCGCATCTAGTGGTATCCTCTTTTGAAAGCCCTGCTAAGTGTCTTTTCTTTGTGTAAAGCGATATCATTTCTTTCAGATACTAGTCACAAGTGCCTTATGTCTAACATCACTGCTTTCAAATATGAACACATATAATTTCACAAAAATTTGTATGGCACCCAAAAATGATTCAGCGACAGCCGAATTAGATGCGTCAAGTGAGTGTAATCTTTGTTGAAGGATTGTTAATGTATTGACGAGAATTATTGATGTTTCAGAACAATACAATAAACTGCAACAGAGTTGGTTGCAAGCGTGCGTAGCCATAGGAGCTCTTGCGGCATCGATACCGTATACCTACATGTTCCAACGTTACACAAAGAAATGGGTGTTCTTATCGGCTGGTATTATATCGGCTTGTAAGTTCATTCTGTTGTCTAATGAAGTTTTGCTTTTAATCGATACTTCGTGTGATTCACAGGTTTTTGAGAAGAAGAATTTGATAATTCATTACTGCAACGGAAATTAGTAGCTGATTTCAACTGTAAGGCTCTCGTAAGCTTCCATAAAAGATATCTTTGTTTGTGTCCGCTTAGGCTCAGTTTGAGAGAACGTCAAGCATATCTCACTTTCTCTTTGTTGCCGTCTCTCTGGCTGGAAGCCCAAATTGAATTTTCCCACGAATCTCTAAATATTATCATAAATCAAGTTAATAGTTGGCTACAGCTCCTAACCCTTTTTAGTTTTTTT